TCTTAAATTATCGAACTAAAGACAATATTTTGGAGCTCACTCGAAAGATTCTCAATTGATGAATTTACATAAAATGATCAATGTGGCCTGTAATCCCTTCAGATGTGTAAAGCACGGCGATGGGGGCAGTGATCTACATGTAGAGAATAGTTTTATATTTCCAGATCGATGGCGCTCATTGTTTCAGTGTAACATCCACCCAAAAGCGTGACAGAAATAAATGACCAAAATTACATCAGATGACGAATCAGGTTTATCTACGATTTATGCATGTTTTTGGGTATTTTGGGCAACCCGCGGGTACCCGCCAAGAACCCATGGGCGGGTTCATCAAGGCCAAAACCCGCGGTGGGTTGCCCATGGGCGGGTAAGGAAATTGAAAACCCAACCCAAACCCGCGTTGGCGAGGTCTAGACCCAGCGGAACAGCGTTTGCTCACGTGAGCGGATTTGTTACCCCTAGGCGGTCAAATATCATCGTACATGAACTTACACCTTTCATTATTTCATCATCGCATCACTGCAGCATCCCCATTGATTTAGACGCTACCGTAGTTATGCGCCGGCTATCTATGCAATCAGCGACGCCCTTCAAGAGGTTACGTCTATCCTTTTCAGACCAGGCTTTAGCAGGTCATTACACTAAAACTGACATTACACAAAAACTGCAACTCGGTCAACGAGTTCTTCGAGTATACAAGGGGACGATTTGTATCAAATAAAGAACATAAACTGTTAATACGTCGGGTGCAATTTGATATGAACGAACTTGCGAGGCTTGCCGCTGCTTCGGTCGGCGCGAGGGAATTTGTTCATATCGAAAGATTTCCTGATGGCATGTTTAACAAAACATTATTGTTCACCATAGAAAATGGAACTAAAGTGGTCGGAAAGGTGCCAAACCCCAACGCCGGACAGGCTCGTCTTACGACAGCTATTGAGGTTGTTGGAAGGTCGCGTGACCACCACTGTTTGCTCCCAGTACTTAGTCTCAGTCATAGCATGTAGATAGTTTCTCTCTCTCTCAACGCATCAAGAGATTTCCAGTTACATCTACATTCATCGTAGATCTCTAGTATCTCTAACAGAGGTGGCTGAAATGGATTTTGTAAATATTAAGGTATTAAGGTTGTACTCCGTAGCAGGCTCAGTTCTGTAAGTAGCGCTTCCTGCTGGACGCCGAAGTTTCCACGAGCGAGATCATGTGGGGTAATCCCCCCAACCTCCGAAATCACAAGCGCATCAAGGCCATTGAAGGAGCCTTGGCCAAAAAAGATTGGAATAATAGTTCCTTGGAGGTTTTCCAACTTTTCGTATGCTTGTATCTCTCGTTGGAACTCGTCCTCCCATCCGATTCTCTGCTACTTGACTATTACTGTCGATGTTGATGGAACATTGTAGCATAATGGAGAGGAGAGTGTCAGCCGAAACACCGTGCGCCCTGGATCTAACCGCTCGGCCTCTATTACATTGATAGGAATATCGTTTAGATAGAGTGTCTAATACTATGTCAGCTCATCCAAATTGAAAGATACCTGATGATGATCACTGACCTTGCAGGGTTCCATATTTCGAAGTAAAAAGAGACAAGGTGTTGTAGTGAACAACGTGTGTGAGATAGCCAAGAAAAAAGTTCAAGGGAGCTTTGAATGTTCCAAGTCCGGATGGCTGATTACTCATATACTAGGTTTTGGGCCGCGCATAGCGCGGCCTCCCTCCCTTGCTAAGCCCTTGTACATAGAAAATTAAGCTAACAACATATATTAGAGAAAGAACAACCACACTTCTGCCATTTTTAGTAAGTTATCTCCTTTCTCATGGTCTATCCATTATAGTCTTCTCTTTTGGAGCTTGGAGACCTAATTCTATAGGGACTTTATAGCCCTTGTACATGCAATGTCAGGTATATCCTCCGTCTTCTTAAGAAGGTAATTGTGTAACCCAGTCAATTTGTATATAGCACAGATACATGTCAATGAACAAAAGGTAGGCATAGGTCAAATGTCGGTATTTTTTTAAAAGTATAGAGGGTAATGTAAGCATATTGTTCTGCAGTTGGCTACATTACATGCTACTCGGCGTTATAAAGATCATCCTTTATCATAAAACACAATGTCGAGTAAGAGATATATGTACTCAATAAATGTAGTATACTATACTCTTCTACATAAATTTAAAGCTCGCCGACGGCTTGCTAATGTGCGAGAGAGGGGGGCCCTGATATCCTGGGAACCTGGTAGTTGTAAAAAGGGGGTAATAACCTCACGGTAAACCACATTATTCAAAACCTTTTCAATATTCTCAGGATGTAAAAGGACCTATACCTGACTTGCGTCCGATGAGCGGGAGAATGCAATATAGAGCTGGCCGTGCGCAAAAGGAGATATACGGAGATCGAGGCCTGCCCTAGCAAGCGATTGACCTTGTGAATTATTGATAGTCATAGCAAAGGCTAGCCGTATTGGGAACTGCACACGATTAACTATAAATGCATAGTCATTGTCCTTTGAGGTCAAGGTGATAGGGAAGATCAGGCGCGTTTCCCCAAGGCATGGACCACTCATAATTGATACCTCAAGACATCGAGGACGGATATTGGTCACAATCATACGGGTACCATTTCAAAGGCCGTTACGCGGATCGATATTCCGAAGCAGCATTACCGGAGCGCCCTTCTTTACGCGAATATCACTTAATGGGAAACCATTCGGAGATAGAGTGCGTAGATATTGCTGTGTTAAATCTTCCCGTAGATCAATA